CTGGCATATAGCCACGACGGCAAGGGTATGTCTTGGTCGTCCCTCTGCAAGGGCCTAGGGAAGAGTTAACTGACAAGTGTCGCTTAGCCATGTATTCTGCCGGAACCGATTCCCTAGTCAAGTACTTCGACCCGAGCAACGGAAAGGTCATTTCGAAAATCGCAATCCCGAGCACCACCTCTGTCCCGGACGCACCAACACTGCTGCATGTTCTCAACCCGCAAAGTCTTTTACTGGCGACCGACTCTGGAGCTCTTCACATCGTCGATCTGCGGGACGGCGCGCCGGGGCAAAAACCAGCACAGACTCACTTCCCCCATTCCGACTACGTCTCGTCCATCACACCTCTCCCACCGTCGGAAGAAAGCACGAGCGGGTTCTCGAAACAATGGGTCAGCACGGGCGGCACTACGCTTGCCGTGACTGATGTTCGTCGTGGTGTCTTGGTGCGCAGCGAGGACCAAGAAGACGAGCTTCTTAGTGCGTGCTTCATGCCCGGGATGGGACCCAAGAGCAAGCGCAGTAACGGCGTGATAGCAATTGGTTCCGGGAGCGGTGTCCTCACGCTCTGGGACAAGGGGTCGTGGGACGACCAGCAGGAACGAATCATTGTTGACGGTGGCAAACGAGGCGGCGAGAGCATCGACGCCATGGTTAGAGTTCCCCATGAGATGGGTCTCGGGAAGAAAGTGGTGTGCGGCGTTGGCGACGGCAGTCTACGCATCGTTGACCTGGTTAAGAGGGAGGTTGACAGGTCTACAAACCTGCGACACGACGACATGGAGGCCGTCATATCGCTAGGTTTCGACTGCGGCAACCGGCTGATCAGCGCTGGCGGCAGAACCGTCAAAGTATGGGAGGAACTGTCCGAGTTGCAGGGCGGAGACAGCGACGAAGACTTGGATGAAGATGGTGATGACGAGGACCACGGGGGGGAGAGCAACAGCAAGCGACCCGCCGCCGATGACAGTGACGACGACGATGATGACGACAGTGAGGATGATGGCGTGGAGGAAATGAAGCGCCGTGCCAAGCGACGCAAGGAGGTTCAGAAGAGCAAGCTTGGTCCTATGGGCGCCCATGGAGTCCTGGGCTTCGAAGGACTCGATTGATAATAGAATACAAAATTACGAGATGAGATTTCTAGTTCTAGCGGAATGCGATCCAATTCACAGATATGGTATTCTTAATGTACAGTAGCAAGAATTGATAGCAGCAATAGAAGCACAGAATTTGCATATAGGAGCAAGGCTATACAAGCGCGCCAAGGGGTAATCGTTCCGAACGCCTCTGCCGTAGGTTAATTGGCACTGGAGTACGTTTGCCGCCTCTTACCAAAATGCAACAATAACGGTGTTGAGACGAGTTTGCCATTATGTACTCATGTCACAAACTAGATAATACCTAGAAATACACTCAATATATCATCATTGCAGATTTAAAGTGTACAATTTCCTTTCCTCTGTTCCTTGCTATCCTAGTGTAATGTGTTACGTCAGTTACCACATATGTTCGTAAATGACCTCCAACTCCAGCCAAGGAAATTGCAGTGAAGATGTAAGTATCATGTCCACTGACGCGTACGTCGACAGTTGTTGAAAATGCCCATTCCAAAATTTGTGGCGTGGCCACGCTGTCTTAGAAATCGGGACCTTGTTCAGCCATCCAGCTGGTATTTAACCCCTTTCATGCTTCCGTTTGGTCGTATAGACGGCAATAAAACAAGCCAAGTGAAAACGACCCTGCTTTCAAAATACCGACTTCACCCAGTGGCAGCAATGAAAACAAAAGAAAAGACGGCATTTTGGGAAGTGTGCCATCAGTTGCAATTTGCGGTGAGGCTAGGATAGATGTCGGGGCTGTTACTGGTCAGACATCCTGCATTGAAGCTTATGCGGGCTGCTGAAACATCATAAAACCGAACTCCAGCAGATAGGTGTGTTGTCAAGGGTTAGAACAAGGACATGGGAGGCGCGCTCCTATTGTAGTCCCTGCATTCGTCACCTCTTCCAAATCAACTCAGCCAGATCGCACACGCTGTCAGAAGCGAAACATGTAGCAGAATGAGATTGCGCCTGTTTTCAGATTCTGTCTGGCTTCGAAAAAGTAGGCGAGTTCGGGGTGCAAGAACTGTTGGTGAAATAAATCCTAACGCTATCCCAATATTATGGATACGGCCGATGCCTCACCTTAGACACCAGGGAGATGGATGTAGCTCCATTGCGCGGTTTCGTCCTCTTTCCACAGCTCAGTTGATCGTGCCATGGCTGCTTCATCAGTCGGTGCAGATATGCGCTTGGGCAAGCTCGTTGCGAGATCTTCATCATATATAATGACTGAAGGTAAAACTCTCGGATCGCGGAAGGAAGTGGTGCGTGCTCCGTTGCTGCGGCGTGAGGACGAGCCCTGCTCACGCTCGCGGCGACGGCGACCACTTGACTTATAGCCACCGTTGCTGCTGGTACCTATATCCCCCATGTTGCTGTGTCTTGCGGGATATGCATCAAGGAGCAGAGGCATCATTTCGGATCCGCTGTATGTTGTAGGAATGCAAACGTGAGGGATGCCCTTGCGACATCCAATAGCTTTGGCCAAACCAACAGCTGAGGCTCCTCCGACGCTGATGACGACGTCCCGATCGTCTATGCGAGAGACTGCGTCGTCCACTACACGAGCTGGCACGTTGACAACGGCCGAGTCGAGGATCCGCGAGTTGAGGTTCGGGATGAGACTTTGAATGCGTCGGGCTAAAGCGACTCTTGATGGACTGGAGACGATTAATGGCGAGGACGCACACAAGCGGCCAAGCTCCGTAGGAAGGCGTTCTATTGTGCCGCGACCGTACACAACCCGGGGCGACCTGGGCTCTGAATGAGATCCTTCGGTTCGCGTAGATTTGGAGGAGCTAGAACGTGAGCCGCGGGCAGACGACCGGGCTCTGGTAGCTGAGCCAGAACCAGCAGAGGAACTCGCACGTCGATTAGCAGCAGCAACACCTATACTGCTTCCACTGGCGACAGCAGCACCGTCAGAGGGACGGTGGCTCTTGGCCGTGGCGGACAACGGTGACGAGTTGGTAGGCGAGGTCGTCAGGGCAAAAGGGTCACCAGTCGTGGGTGAAGTGGTGGTTGTATTCATAACCCCGTCTTTGAAAGGGCTAGACGGAACGTCTCGCAACGACCAGCCGGCCAACTGGGGTTCTGTCACGGCGGCTCAACGGGCTCAACGGGGTATTCGATGGTGAGTTGAAGGATGAACGGAGCCGAGTTTGGAGTTTCGATCCTCGGAACTTGAAAGGACTCCCGGAGATCGAGCCCCGTAATCTTGGGGGAAATCCAGTTCAGGGACTCCTTGGGCTCCCCACGGGCAGACCCAAGTGCGACTCTATGATTCAGAAAGACCGGTTGATACCGGTTGACACATGTACGAAAATCCCACGAGGAAGGGACCAGCAGCGGAAAGAGGGAAGGCGCCTGGCAGATGGGGGGTGCAGAAGTCATAGGTTCACTCCTTGACCATTTCTTGACTAGCAACCATCATCATCTACCTACCCAGGTTCCTACTTATGTAAGTGCTTAGGTAGGCGGCCATTCTTCCAAGGCATGGCCAGCGTAATGGAAAGGGTCCTGTGTCCCAAGAGCCCCTCTTCTCCCCATCTTTACTTGAGGCGACATCATCCGCGTCCGGCTTGGCATTGTACAGTCCTCGGCCATGGACTGGGCGTGTCATTGGATGGTGGTGATGGTGTGAGGCACAAAAGGGACTCAGGTCCTGACGTAGGCACCTACCTAGGTTCCTAGCATGTATTACTGATCAGGCTAGTGTGGAGTAAAGCGGGCCAGGGCAGAGCAATCAGTGGCCAGTATTGCGCCTTAGCAGACCAGCCGGTGGAGTAGGTGTCGACGGAGGTTCCTGTCCGGCGGTGGCAATTTAGAGCGCAGAATCCAGAAAACGGTTTTTGCCCATGCCAAACGTTGAAATTGCCATCTTTTTGTGTGCGTGCCAGCAAATACCCATCGGCAGATGATTTGGTCCCGTCAGACGCCACTCATGACGGAAATTTGGGACATGAAGAGGGGCATCAGCTACTGTCGGTGCGAAACACAGGATGATGCACATGACCTTTCATTCTCTTATTTTGTTTTTCTTTCTCCTTCTCAGACTAGTAAGTGGGTTTGTCATTTATGCTGTGATATTTAGCTGGTATTGGCGGAAGACACTGGGGCATGCTTATGATATAGCGTATAGGGCAATGGGATGCCAAATAAGGAAGTAAGTTTACATGACCTTGATGCCAACGAAATGTTGACCTAGGGGTAGGTAAAGCAGAAAGAGCTAGTATTAAAGCATTAGTATTGTCAATTATCCCCTACGGGGGCCGCCTACGGCCGGCTTTAACTTGAATCAATAATAGCCGACCAGTTTTTTGTTGTGCAGACTTCCACTTTTCTTATTAACCACCTGGGCAGTTATGAAGGAGTATTTCTACCTTGAATTAATGACATACCTAGGGACAGCTTCGCATATATATCATAAAGAGGTAAAGCGGGAAGCAACAGCCCGCTCCCGTTGCTTGCCAAGTTTACTATATGTCGGCCACCAAAATCCGCTTTGCCTAATAATTCGTCCGGCTGTCTCGATATGTTATCGAGATAAAATGCATACTAAGAGAAGGAAACACGGTGTTGTGAATGGACAATCTTTTTTTGGGTGGGACAATCACATCGAATCTTCAGTTGTGAATACGACTGGCATGCGCCCATGATTGGGTTCCCAATAGGATAGTTTTATTGAGACTCCATGCCCAGTGGCAATTTACTCAACTCGGTCCAGGATGAAGTTGGTATGTGCGTAGTGCGGATATAATGCTACCTTTGTTCCCAGTTCTTCATCTTCTTCCTCGAAGACTTCTGCCCCCAAACCCCGGCGTACCTGGATCCTTGTTTTCCCATTACCAGATTCATTTCACCCTCCATTCCCGTACTTTCATCATGTACCCCTCATAACACGCTATTTGGATTTTCCCTCCCCTCAGCAACTTCACCCTTGCCGGGAGGTGTGCTCTCTCGTGTTAGCTCCACTACCTGGACATTGACATCTTCATCTTCCATCTCCTCAGGCAATGTCAAGTTGAGTGCCATGCATACCGCTGCTGTCACTGCGAACCCCGTTTCCATAATGAGAACAATAGCATCGAGGAAGCCCTTCAGAGCGTGGTTGTCGCCTGAGTAAGTAAAAATCTTATCAAAGTAGGTGGGCACGAGGGTTGCGCCGTAGCCCAAAGCTAACCCTGTGGTGAGGATGAAGCGAGTGCGTCGATTGAAGTCGGTTCCGCGAGTGATGATGGCCATTCCGGATACTGCCACTGCCGCGAAAAGGAATGTCGTCATGCCGCCCAGGACGGCGGAAGGGATGGCAACAAGGGCTGCGGCGAATTTAGCAAAAATTCCCATGATGATGAGGAAGAAGCAGCAGGCAAGGCCGGCCTTGCGGTTTGCACATCTCGTCAGGGCAATTACACCGTTGTTTTGAGCAAATCGGCTCATTGGCGTCATGGTCATTAGGGCAGCAATGATGGAGTTGATGCCGTCTGTGAGCAATCCACCCTGGATACGGGACTCGTAAATACGTCCCTCCATCTCGATGTGGGAGACATCACAGGTCGCCGTAATGTCGCCAACAGCCTCCGTGGCGCATATAATAAACACGGCCATGATGGGCAGAACAAGCGGCCCGTAAACAGTGAGAGGAAATGTGTGTACCCAAATAAATGATGCGACAGGAGCCGAGTCGATCCCGCTCCGGTCAAAGTACCCGCATGCTGCTGCAATGATACATCCTACAAGCAGTCCCCAGATGACAGAGGTAGACTTCATGATTGGAGATCCAAATCGTTCGCAGAGAATAATGGTGATGAAGGCTGAGAACCCTAGACCAAGATACTCGGGGGATCCCCATGGCAGAGCGTGTGGCGCATTGATATTCGGACAGAGAGCAAAAAAGCTGGCTTGGTCGCCTGCAGATGCAGGATTGGCGCAGGGTCCGCTGCCTCCCATCCAATTCTTGAAACCACTCTCGATGAGATGGATACCAATTAACATAACCGTGGGCCCAGTAACAATGGGTGGAAAGATGCGTAGGAGAACCTTTGGCGGCAAAAACGATATCAAGATTTCGGTCAAGGCACAAACTGCAGAAGTGCCGATCAAGGCACCGTAACCTTTGGGGCAGGGTAATGGAGCACCACCCTCACCAGAAGGACAGTAGCCGTTGGCATACATTTGCCTGAAGGCGCCTTGGGCAATTGGAATGATGCTGAAGGAGATACCGACTACGGAAAGAACGCCGGTTCCAATAAAATACCTAGAATAGAAACGTCAGTGTTTGCATTCCATGGCCGTTGATTGTCTGTCTAGGGAAGGAATTTCCGAGTTAATGTGACGGGAGACAGTTTCCGGAATAACTTACGACGTCTTGGGAACTCGGAAGCGGTTAATCTGCACGGCAGACAAGATTCCAGAAACAATTAGGGCCGTAGAAACCAGATATTGCTGCTGGCTTTGGTCGAGGTTCGCACCTCCGCTACCACTCAGGATAAGAGGAGGAGTAATGACACCAGCAAGCATGGACAAGGCATGTTGCAAACCTAGAAGGAGCCCTAGACACACGGGCATCTTGTCGTTAAGGCCGAAAAAGGGGCTGCGGTATGTACTCTTCTTCATAAATGGGAGGTTTGGTCTCAGTAGGAAACCGTAGTCGTAGTCACCGACGAGTCCGTCGCGCGTGGTGAATGCATGGCGGACGTTTCCAAGGCGAAGCCTGATGCGCTGGCCGATGCTATTCTTTTGCGATGTGTCTGCAGGGACGATGGTGTCTGGGCCGTGATCTTCGTCCATGGTGGTGATCTTGTCGTATCGGGTGGTGTAATTAGGTATATAAATTTACGGATTCCGGACGAAATAAGCGTCGCCAGGGCAAATGATCTGGGTTTAACGAAACTGAGCGGTTATCATCAGGCAAACCTGCTGAATCCTGGCGGTTGTTGGCCGGAAACCTGCTGAAGCCGACAAAAGTAGTTGTCCTTGTTTTCTTGACTCTGAGGACAAGACCATGGCCTCGCGGCTAGGGTTTCGAACTTTAGACGGGTTATGTACTTTCTTGAATGATCAATTGACAAAATTTCTGAGCTTCAAGTGGCTTGGTTGTGCGCCAATTGCGATGCGATGGCAAAAAATGTAAATGGCTGGCAAAGTCGCTTGTGACGGTGGTGTAAGCTGATGGCAATACCGAACACAGGGAGGTACTGACGACGAGGACAGCAATAGACAGAAGAGCAATGTCAGGACTCAGGAACGAGGTGGGCGGGATATTAAGTTGCTTTTATTTAGTTTGACGAGATGCAGATGCAGGGGATCCAGGTTGGAGTGTTCGTCGCCATCGGAACGAAGGACGATGCAAGGCATATCGTGTCCCTGTTGCCCGACCATCGGACAAAATAGGTCTGATGTAAGAGGGCCAGACAAGACATGGAGGGATTCTGCCTCTGTCGGTAGTCTTCAGCCAACCGGAGACGGCCGCCAGAACTAACCTTGGACTCGAGCGACGGCTGACAGTGAGGGCCCCAAGTTTGTGTCTCTGGACTCGATGGTGTGGGTGGATCTCTCTTGTCCCAGCGCCATGTCCGTCCTGCATGCATACATACATACCATGGTATCGACTATTTGGGCAATCGATTACATGTAACGGAGCGAATAAGCCAGGCCGCATCACCGTTAACCCCATCGTCAGTGGCTGCGGGGGAGGGTCAAAGGGGTCCCGTATCTGCGCCTCGGTGAAGCTGAACCAGAGCGCTGGGGAGCTGGACATCGGAAGCCAACCAAGTCACCTCAGCTCGTCATGGCGCTGGTGTTTGGATTTGCAGCGCCATAAGCGCAAGCCAGTCCTGTCTCCCATGTCCAAGTGCCATGATGGGAGACAGAATCTGCTTGGGCATTGTCGGACCTGGCCGTGAGTTGTTGCGACTTGTTGGCCATTTAGCATGGCATGTCTTCGCTTCGAGGCGACCTCCGACACAGGCACGAGGCGGCAATTAAAAGATATGTTTTGGGCTGGACCGTACGTTCATCAGCATAGCATCGAGTGACGGAGTGATCGAAAACACCAAGTGTTTTGTGGAAGCGGAAACTGCAGAAGCCGAAGTGCCGAGATAGCGCTTGATGTAGACAGATGCTGGGTGACGAGTGATAGAGCCAGTGGAGCAGGGCCCAGAGATAGACGAGATAAAACATGGTCGATTGATTTGATTGAGCAGACTGATGACTGGGCCCATTCATGGCACCTGTAGTGTGTAAAACTCCGGGTTTAAGGTACTTGACGCGGCGCATGGACCACTTTCTGCACTCCGATAACATTGATCAATTTCATGTCTGTAGTTTGTCATCGATTGTTGCCACCAGACCAGACTCGAGATAGGAGTGAAATTAAGCGGGGACATGGGCTGCTTCTTCATCTTCGTCTCCTTCTTCTACGACTCCTTCCCTATCCTCAACTCGACCTGCTTACCATTACCGCCGCTTAGCAAGACAAGCCTACTATCTACTTAAGTAGGCAGTTAACAACTTATTCCTCCCGAGCCGGCACTCAATGTCGCAGGGTTACATGCCCTCCGCACGCGCCCAATCCCGTGCCATTGCATCAACGTACCCAGGTGCCCCATTTTCAATGCTGGCCTGTGAAACCGGCCCTGCGGCTCATATTCAATCTTGTCTGTTCTTCATGTCGCCTGACGTATGATGCGCATTTTGTCCCCATATGAACCGAACCAAGTGGATGCCCCATGTAGACATTTCGTTCCAGCCGCCGCTGAAGCTATCAAAAGATACAATATATGCTTGTCCGCTTCTACCTCTTATGGTATATCCTTCACTAGCTGCTAACTCAATTCGCATCTACACGCATCGGCGAGCTCCGGGGCTGCATGGCCTTCCCCTTCCCCCAAGCAAACATGGTGGCGGCGGCGGGGGGACTACGACAACCGCCCAGGTCATCAAAATCTGTCAGGATTCTCAGCCAAACCAAGCTTCTGCGCGCATCTTGCACCTCTTCTGGACCATGCGACGCCGTTTCGCTCTTGCTTTGAGTGGAAGTGCACTATTGCTTCTGCCAACTGTCCGCGGAAGCGGGATGCTTTCTCCAAAATCTCCAAAAGTTCACGGCCATTTCCGTGGGGTAAATCAGGGAATGAGGAACAGGAAGAGCCATGCCGTGTCACTAATTTGCGTGGTGCCTGCTATGTCGTGATTTGACTCATTTGGGTCCATCGGATACCGTGGCACGTATCATATCAACCTCAGACAAGTCAAAACTGGCTGGCATGTTAGGGTCTGGCGTGGCATGACTTGCTTGCACCGAGGAACTCACCTGTTGCTTGCTGGTTCCAGCCCGAGAGCCACTCTAATATAGGTTCCTCTTAGTAAACAGCTAATACCGCAAACTCTAGGACCATTATGTCCATCTGCCATCCTTGCCATTCTTGTACTCTACATATCCTCCTCCGCCGTCCGGGTGCATTGGTCTCTTCAAAGTAAGCGTCACCTGTCATCGGCCAACTCCTATCAACAACCAGCGCCACCATTTCCCCCTCCCTCAGCTTCTCATCTTGACGTGGCCAATACCCATCACGGCGACGACATCTGCTTGCCAAGAAACAGCAGAAGTCAGCCTCTCTGTATGATTGCCGTCTTTCCCTGCCGAGTGTGACCATCAACCCTTTCAAGCCGTCTGGAGCGTGCTGTCTGTGTGGTATTGGCATTTGATAATAGAAAACCAAACGACTTCCCCATTCAAACACGCATGGTTGACCCGAAACACTGCATGTGTTTATGAGTAGGGAACTCTAGATGGTTTGCCAACTCCAATGACCAACTCTGTGGCCGTGGTTCGACCCCTCAATAACTCCCGAGAATACATTACGTCTTGTGAACCACGGGATCGACGCATGAGATGAAGCAGAGCATGTAGACGGGGGAGGGGGGATCGAAACGTAATGCAATTTGTGCGCCGCGCCTAGTATCCTGCCTGTAAAATCACCATGTCCTGCCCATATCCCGTTTTTCGATACCAACGTACAGCAGCACCGACAGCCACCAAAGTTTTTTTCTCTCGCTAAGTACAAGTTCCTTTCCCTCCTCCAGCCTGCACTCTAACAAACAAAATCCGTCGTGTCGCCTCCACTTGGTATAAAGATGCAGCTATGGGGTATTAAAAAAACGGGAGTGCGACCATACAATGGCTAATGTGAAAGGCATGTAGCATTCGTCTATTGCCATGGCATTTGCATGCTGGGAGGGAGGGAGATGAATACGTGTCTTGTCCCATACAATTGTGGTCTTCCATATCACCCAAATTCCCGCGCCTTCCGCGCTAGCACCCGTACATTGTCCAGAAAACCCTCAATCAACTCCTGGTAGCGGTGCGGCGCCCCGCTCATGGCTTTCGCCCCTTGGTCAAGCACAATTGCAGAAGCCAGTTCGATTTCGAGTTCGTGCTCCTTCTCCATCTTCTGGGTACTCTACCGATGGTGTCAGCGTGCACACAGCACTTACAGAATAGTCAGCAGCCTTACCGATGGACCTGGTGTTGATAGTGTGACCTGTGTCAGGTCAATTTGATAATGTCCTTGAGTATAGCTCAAGCGGTCTTTTTGCCTCTCCGACGTCTTGTCGTTTTGAGTAGGCCCTAGCCGCTCCAGCTCTTCCACAGGGCCATCCCAGTTCATTTCAAGATTGATACTGAGTCGACAGTCCATAGGGCTGTTTGGCATGTGGATATCAATATCCGCTACTCTGGCTTTGATGATTTTGTTGAGAACCTGACCTGTCTTTTGGTCATATGTTACTCTAGCTTTGGCGTTTCTGACGCGAGATCCTAGCCTGGACCTCACACATCCCGGCAGACGATTTTGCAGGTCGGGAGGCAATTCAAAGTATCGGTCAACTTCGCGACGGTGTTTGTAATGCACTTGAACGCGACCAGCCCCGTTCGGGGCGCGTGGGTCTGTCTGGATGACTATCTGGTTCAGGAAGTCGTTGAATGCTTTGTGGTGCGCCTATAACATGTTAGTCGATCCCCGGGTATTTTCAAGCCGATTGAAATGATGAATCCATATTCAGTGGAAGTGGGTTGACGCTTACCTCTGTCATGCTGCTTTTGAACGCGACTCTGCCCGTGTCATGAAGAACGCACTCTGTGTCTAATAATCTATCCACACGATAGTTTGTGTCCTTGTCGATGAGCGTACCAAGTTTTGCTTCAATCTCGAATTGGATGCCCCGGCTCGTAATCTCCTTGATGTCTGGGTTATTCACAACGTGGATAAAGACAAAATCAGCCACCGTTTTTGATATCTCCTCATACGGCTTTACACCGGTTATACTAGCTTCCCAAGGCCCCAGAATGTCCTGTGGTCCAGCTTCCACGACTGCAGGTGCCGGTTTCGAAGCTGTAGATGTTGATGTGCGTGCTGCCTCAGGGGAAGCATGTCGACTGGATCTGTCGGCCTTGCTACCTCCATCTACTTTCCCATTTATGTGCGAGTGTATGCGCTTCTGAAGGACGAAGTTGGCCTGGTTGGGCATCTTGCCGCCGAGTGAGTGGGCACTCTGGGCCCAGATAGGCGGCTGCGCTCGTGAGATGCGCTTTTTCCTCGGAGCAGACTGGGCTGGTGTAGTTTGGCTGTTGCCTATATGAGCGCCATTTAGCTCACCCGGTGGTGGCCGCGCTTCCTTGTGCTCTAGCTCCTTGGGGCTGAGGTTCCGGTCATCCAGCTTGCGTTTCGCGGGAGTGACGGCGCGATCCAAGTCTACTATGACTGTTTGAGATATCGGGAGAGATTTTT